GTATCTCTCTCTCCTCCTCCCCACTTATACTGCTCTAAATTTTGAAAAATTCTTTATTCTACCACCAACCTTAATTACATTATATTTTATTACTCCATACTTTAACGAAACAAAGATCTAACGACTTTAGATGAAACTTTAAGGCAAGAATTCCAAAATAAGGAATGTGGAACTTTATTAATTACTAAAAAGTAAAAAGGTGGGTCTGTTGCAATTGGGGCGTTTACAAATGGTCACCTCTTACTTTTTGGTCTGCGGACAATCCTACAGAATTCACTATTCATCAAATTCTTTTACGTCATCTTCCATACAATTCTAATACGCCATTAATCCATTATATACCAATTCGATAACTACTTACAACTATTACGACTAATTAATTAACTCGAAATGATACGTCGTAGCTTATTTAGGCCCTGTTCTATTAAGATTTTGAGAAGAGCAAATTTCAACCGAGTACAATAGTTTTTATAATAATAATAATTAAATAATTATAATAATAATTATATTATTATTATTTTTTTAAATAGTAACTATTATTATTAATTACTCATATCATTTTTAAGTAGAGCAGAATAGATTTAAGCAGAGATGGACAGATTTTGATCAATAATAGTTTGATAGATAATTATATTTTGGCACATGTACACATTTCGTGATTTTGTCCTCATAAATTTTCATCTTTAATTATCGATCAAACTATTCCTAAAATTAATTCGACTTATTAAGTCCGAACTTATGTAGCTTAATTAAGTTTAAATGTTTAATTGTTTTTTTTTCAATGAGGCAAAATTTATTTGTCAATATGTTTGATTTATATATATATATATATATATATATATATATATATATATATATATATATATATATATATATATAAATTTTATTGATCTTATGGTCTCATTGAATTTTTATATGTGGCTAGCCACATGGCGTGGCAACTTTACATAACATATATAAGGCAATTAATTAAGTACTAATATGGGTCATGGTGATGAGCAAACGAGGTTACATTAACGTATGTAGATTACTTAAATGAGAAAAAGGGTTACTCTCTTAAATAAGTGGAATAATGCTTTCATTTTTTAAATCAAAAGAATAGGGGTTACTCGAATGAACAAATGAGGTTACTTATTTCTAAATTATTTGATTTTACTCGTATAATGAATTTAGGTTACTTTTATGGATAAAATGAAGTTACTCGATTTTATGAATAAATGGGGTTACTCATACATATTATTGAAAATTACTCTTATAAGCCAATGTGGCCACACCGTGTGGCTAGTCACGTACAAGACTTACCAACAAATTAGTTATTTGGCAAAATATATACGAAATAATCCTTGTGATAGATCAAACAAGTCATTGGAGGAGTATTATAAAGAGAGATAAAAAATTACAAAATGTATTAAGCCAATATTATTTCTTCAAAAAAGAAATTAATTATATTGTTATTAACAATTAATTATTATTAATCATTATTTTTAAGCAGAGTAGAGCAGAACAACTCAAAGCTCAAAAGACAGGGCCTTAGGGCCTATTCTGTTTAGCTTAATTTCAGTTTTGTTCAGCTCCAACATCAGTTTAGTTCACTTTTCAATTTCTATCTTTCATAAACAATTCATTTCAGCTCTATACAATTCAGTTTTGTTCTGTTCAGCTCTAATCATTTCAATTCAGTTTAATTCAGTTCCAATCAATTCAGGTTAGTTCAATTCACTTGTTTTCAGTAAATCAGAACATGCCCTTACTCTTTTATAAATTGAGCCAACATCATCTAAAAGGGTGACAAACAAGATTTGCCAAAAATCGACTAAATGAATTTGAATGGCTTTTAATGCTTTTACTGTATTTCTTTTGGGGAATAAACGCCAAAATGTATACAGAGTATTGCTTTTTTGCTCAAAAAAGAAAGTAAAAGTAGTGCAACGAATGAGGGCTTGAGAACATTACATGTGTTCAAAACATAGCTATTCGAATTTATTTTTCTCTAATTTTTATTTAGTCTGACCAACGATTCCATCTTTAATTTCATAATTTGTGAATAATAAAAGTGGTTGGTCTATATCTAAAGTCTGATTAATTCACGTCCACATTAAATAATATGATAATACCAAATAAGATTTGGTACATTTAAAGAATTTCTACTTAATTTGTCGCCTTATATGCAAATAAACAAAATCGTGATTATGAATTAAAAAAAATAAAATAAAATACAAAAAGAGTAAACTACATGAATTGTATATGCTGAACTTGAATCAAGGCTAATTGACTAGAGTATGTAAACATGATAGACCTCATTGAAGGAGAAAATTCTAAGGTCTATATCCGATAGAATTTTTCTAAAGAGTGAGAAATTTCAAGTTTTACAATTCGACCCTAACAAAATAAATACTCCGTACTTTTTTTGTCTATACCTTCTTTAAAATGCTCCAGCGCATTAATATCTAATAAGTTTAATTATATTTTTTCTCAAATGTTTTTTTGGGTTGATTGTGATATTAGTAGTAAGAACTAATAAGATCTTTGTTTCTTTATTCCCAACAATGATAACTATGTTTACAAAAAAATATACAAAAATAAAAAAAACAATAGTAACTACGAAGTGTACATATATATATATTTATTTATTTATGACTGTGATATTTCTAGCGATCCCTATTAAAAATGAACTCTAATAATATGTGGTTTATTATAGTAGGTTCTAAATAAATTATCACTGTGTATGTTAATAAATGAGAAGGCAACATAGATGAGGACATAACATGTGCCTTGGTTTTCAATTGCATATGCATTGTATATGTTGTAGGCTCACATTTTTAACCTATGATATAAGCATTGATCGTGTAATTTATATGCATGCATAATTGCACACACTTCTTGTCAAATAAAACTCTACACATAATTATTTTTTGACATGTGCTAAGGCCAACTAACTACAAAATATGATTAAAAGCCAACAAGGTGTAATTTGTTGTCATAGAGAAGATAAGTGCTTTATCCATTACATCTATGTGGATCTTGTGTATGCTGCATCATTTAAATCATTTGACTTGTCAAAAAATACGATGTATCGTCCATCTAAGGCTGAAATCTCATATCTCTTCATCCCTTTATAACCACGCCATTGATGTATTGAATCTGTATAAATTGTGATCTGACAACTTTCAGTAGTAGGCGATAAATTAAACAAGCCATTGCAATCCACCCAAGCAGGTATTTATCTCCGTCCGATCCACATGTGCCAATATATAATTTGCTCCCCCCGGGTCACCCTCCTAATGTTCCTTGAAACCCAACTTTCATAATCTTTGGACACCATCCTGAGTTCCTCTTTGACCCCATGGCTCGTCGTCTCATCCTCTATGATAAACATTGGAAAAATCGTGACCCCGTCTTGCATAGCCCTCAAAACCCTAGAGGGTAAACCATATTGCCTTATTCTAGCAAGTGATATATGTAAGATTTGATTGGATCTGAACTGATATTTTAAAGTGAACACAAAACACTCTTAAATTATTCCATTAACTTAAATATCTTATCCATGCAAGTATTAAGTTTTCTATAGCCGATTTGTTTGATGAGAATATCTTGAATGGTGACTCTTTTGAAAGAAATCTACCATTTCTAAAAGCCCTAGCCTTTTTTGACCAACCCAAACTATTCCCTAAATGGAAGGAAACTAATAATTACCCCTAAAGAAGGACAATTAATTTAATACTAAGGTATGATTAAGCTTTCCTTTTACTCAATAATATTGTTAATTAATCAGGATTCAACTTTTAACACTAAGCTTTTTTACATAATTTTGTTATCCCCTTTCCTATGTAACTTGAACGTGTCAAATGCTAATTGGTGTTCATCCTATAATGAAGTAAGGCATCTTATTATTATAATTAAAAAAAATAAAGCCGATATTGAGGGGTTTTGTCTATCCCTTATCTATTTCTATGACTTCATTATTTATCCGAATATGGAAATAATGGCCATTATCACCGGCATTTGTATAAATAATGTACGTTCGTGGATAGCCACAAATTAGTTACAAAATCCCAACCACCCAGAGAAGATATATTTGTGATCTTTGTACCATATTTTTTATTTTAGGAAACCTTTGCACCATTTTATATTACTGTAACCCTTTCACAACTCGAAAAACAAAAAATTATTAGTTTATAAGAGAAACTTGTACATTTACTTATTATTAGTATAAGAATTTAAGAATAGAAAAGGACTTTTAAAATTACTAATTTGATACTTTCCTTGTTTATGAATTCTTCCATAGACTTCAATTCATTGTTACACTATTTATACATTAATTTTGAAAACATTTAGTTACTAATGCTTCAGACCTGTTCACATTTACTTAACTGAGCTGAATTGAACTGAACTGAGCTGAAATAAATATTTTACGAGAGAGGGAAATTAGAAGCTGAACTGAACTTAACTGATTGGAGCTGAACTAAACTGAAATTAAGCTAAAGTGAATAGACCCTTCGTCCATTCACATTTATTTCCAACTTTTGAATTGACTAAAAGTGTGAGAGTTAATTGATCATATGTTATTGTGTAATGCGTTTAGTGTACTTTGTTGAAAAATTGTTCTTAATATATATGTTAAATATTATTAATATTCCTTACAATTAGTACCTTTTACACCATTCAAATATTAGCTCTGATTTAATTTTTCAAATTATATATATACAAATAATTAAGATATTGTAAAATATATATGTTGTTGGATTAATGAAAATGTTTTATGTGCCAACATTATTTTAAAATTAGATTTTTTTTTTATAGCAATTAGAAATTTTTATGGTCAAACACATGTCTGGTGTCATTATAAATATTCAAATCAAATACATAACTACATACATTTATCTATGATTAAACATGCATATTGGCAAATATACTATAAAATTATTGCAGTATATAATATTTTAAAAACAGATTGAGTATTATATTTGATTTGAATATCTAGAGGCTCTCCGAAACCCAAATCCACATAATACATTACACGTTTTTATAGAAAGAGACACAAAAGACAATAATATTCAATCTCAAATATTCATTACTACCATTTGACAGTTTAATAACCAAATACATTAGTTAACATCCACATACTTTAGAATTACTATACGTAGACATTTACTTACATCCAACATGATCAGTCATATATAGTAGTTGATCAGATGGGTGAAAAAAAAAAAAAAAAAAAAAAAAAAAAAAAAAAAACCAGAAACACTCATATTGAGTGGAAACAAACATATCAAAATTACCAAAAAAAAAAAAAAAAAAAAAAAAAAGCGATGAAGACGTGGTTACTATGTCAGCCAACGAGTCGCGAGACGCCGAGTCAAAGTGTTAGCAAGGCCACTCTATCACTTAATGAAGTTTCATAAATAGTCAGAAAAGACTGCAAGCAATAAGGCCATGCTTACTACAACCAAATTAATCATAATTCCACAAGCTCCCAGATTCACCAACATCACAATCATCTTCACCCATGTCGTAGTCGTGATCACCCGTCCCGCTTAATCGAGGCGGGCTAACCATCATTCCTCCCGCCATATCCACAAGCAAATTCGGCATATTAAACAATGCCTCCATATCTATGAACTCCTCTTCTGCTCCTTTTTTTCCAACATTCTTCAATTCATCCCCAATCTTTCTCTCTCTCTCCTGCTTCATTGCTGCGGCAGTTGCCGCAGCATTCCTGATGTCTGCAGGAGAGTTCGAGTTCGGAACCGGGTACCTCAGTACATCATCAGGAAAATTCAAAACCGCCTCGCTCCCTTTAAGAGCGAGGGCAGCAGCGTCATAAGCAGCTGCTGCCATTTCGGCAGTAGGCCATGTGCCGAGCCATATCCGTGTTGTTTTCCTTGGTTCGCGAATTTCGGATACCCATTTCCCGCCCCGGGGACGTATCCCCCTATACAAGGGATGCTTCCCCGTGGGGGATACAGCAGGCAGGGCCGTCGACATTGACGGCCCTGCACCTACCATATTTTGTGATGGTGGTGGTGGTGGTAGCGAGGATTTTTGATACGACTCGGTTTGAGGAATGGACACTGAAAGAAGTGGCAGTTGTTGATTGAATTGTTTGTTAACGTTTGATGATTCAGTTTGGTCAGCCATGTAGAGTGTAATATACTAGGACAACACCTAGCTATATTAATAGTGACTGATTTTTTTTGGATTATTTTCTAGTTGAAAAATAGAAAAGGGGTTTAATAATTTGATCTAATTAATTCAGTGACAATTACAATTTATATTCTTGGGAAATAAGTGGTCAAAACGTGGGAAATTCGCGGAAGTACTACTAGATAGATCATGTTTATAATAATTATAAAAAGTTTGTTTTTGATTTTTGATTTTTGCATGGTGGTTGTTGAAATAAAGAAGGTGATGAGTTTGCTAATTAGCTGGCTAAAATGAAGGGGGTGTTTTAATTGAAATTCTAGGGTTTTTTTTTTTTATGTAGATGAAAAATATTAAAGTACACGGATTAAGCGCGAAAAATACGTTTAATATAAGCCTCCATAATTATTATGATTAATCCCCCATCAACTTTAGGTCTAATCAAAGAAAACAGTCTTGTTGTTAAATCATTCTTAGTGTTTATGTGATTTTTTCTTAATCTTCTTTTAGGTGGTGGGTCTTTTGGGTTTTTAATTGTGTGCTCATTCTCTCTAGGTAGGGGCCTGATTTTGTTGGTTTTACCTCATTGATTTGTGAAAGATATTGATTATGTTATGGGTTCGTTGTTAGTCGTGACACGATAATATAAATATATATCCGCACTAACGTCTTAAATGTCTATGTCGAACATCATATCTTGATATGTACTATAAAATTTAACGTTTAAACTATATTAGATGAGGTCAAAAAATTATTAATCCATGTATATTTTGCGACTAATAATTACAAATTAAACAGAATAGCCAACTACTGTTGAATGAATTAACACGTCTACAGTTAAAATTCTAATTCTGCGAAATAAAGATTTTAATGAAAAGGTTGGGTGCAATGTCATTTTCGGATTTTCCACATATCTATAGATAATACGTGTTTACACAGCTAGATTATGATCATCAAGAAATTAATAAGAAGTACGTACCTGTTTGCCTAGGCATTTGCCAGGGTGCTACCTATTGATCTGATTAATTTCTTCTAATTTTATAGAGCATCATAAATAATTGCTGTACATTTAGTTTTTACCATAAATTTGAGTGGATCATCCACAGATATAGTACATACATTTACCATAAATTTAAGTGGATCATAAACAAACAAATTAACAATATCCAATCAATGGACCAATAAAGGACAAAATGCTATTTTATTTTTTTTATTAGTTTGGAATGAGCCAGATTAAAGGGAGACAAAAGGTTTTTTTTTTTTTTTTTTTTTTTTTTTTTTTTTTTTTTTTTTTTTAAGTATACCTTCCACTTATTTATTTAATAAAAGTTTTTTTAAAAAGATTTTGAGTGAAAATGAAACAAATGAACTATTATTACTTCTATTGCTTACTTTTGATCAAGCCCTTACTTTTGAATTATTATTACTTCTATTGCTTACAACTGAAATGAAATTAAGTAAATATAAACAAGCCCTTACTTTTGATCATTTTAGAGGAGATTTTGAGTCAAAATGAAACAAATGAAACTAAGCTCATCATAGATTTTGAGTCAAAATGAAACAAATGAAACTAAGCTCATCATAGATTTTGAGTCAAAATGAAACAAATGAAACTAAGCTCATCATAGATTTTGAGTCAAAATGAAACAAATGAAACTATGTATTATATTATTGCTTACTAAACATACAAGGCCATCATGTTAGGATCATAACCTCTTTTTTAAATACATCAATAATCCTAATTTCCAACCTTGATTATATTCTAACCTAGTGGAATAGGTAATTCTATTGTTTCAATTAGTAAATACAACGTAGAAAAATGATTTTATATATTGTGTTAGGGGTCAGTCATGTCGTCCTAATTTATGGCTCTTAAATATAAAAGGGCTTTCTTAAATTATAAGAGTTACTCTTGACAAAAAAAATTAAAAATAAAAAATAAATAAAATAAATAATAAATAAATAAATAAATAAATAAATATAAATAATAAATAATAAATAATAAATAATAAATAATAAATATAAATAATAAATAATAAATAATAAATAATAAATAATAAATAAAATAATAATAAATAAATATAATAAATAATAATAAATAAAAATAAAATAATAATAAATAAATATAATAAATAAATATTATACAAGTATAGTTTTATACAATAAAATAATAAAAACCAAAGTAATGCCAGTAAATATGTCATCCATTCTCTGATATTCACTAGTCACACTACTCGATCTACGAGTCACCAACACCACACATTGGAAGTTTATATTGGAAAGAAACCTACTACATCCGTTCCCGAAAGAATGACTCATTTGGCCTAATTTTAGTCCCAAAAAGAATGACCCATTTGCATTAAAACACCCACCAATTTGCAACAATATTTGTGCAAAATTAACTTCCCCATATAAAAATTTGATTTTACATGTAATTTTATTACTTTCTCTCTCTATTTTTTTACAAACCCCATGTAAATTTATCTTTTTAATATACTTTTACTTTTTTTATTTAACTTTCTTAATATCCGTGTAATCAACCCTAATGGGTCGTTCTTTCGGGGACGGAGAGAGTACATTATAGGACTTCAATTTTATTCTTTGATTGTCAAATGATAAATTTGTTATTCCGTCAAAAAAAAAATTGTTATTAATTATTTCATTTTTAATCATTATTTTTGTGATCTATATATTGTAAACATTAATACTCCGTAAAATACACCAAATTTATTACAAATCCTCAACTACATACGTATCATTTTGTGATTTAAATCCCTCTTTCTTTTTATTTATTTATTTATTTATTTATTTTTGATGGGTGCCTAGAATTGATGACACATATTAACTTACTTTGGTCCTTTTGTCCTTTTGGACCCAACTTTTATACTTTAATGTTGAAAGTTATAATTCATTGACTATATTTAGCTGAAATAGATACACCAATATTCGTGGAACCCTTTTCTGCGAAATGACAAAATCCAGAATAAAAGGGTTAATTTTTTTCCCTAGCACCTTACCTTATAATACAGTTTTGATATTAGCAATAAGCCAATAAGTATACTCAATAATACTTGTATTAATTAGTTTAAGAAATTAAATTAAGATAGATTTATACATTAATTAGCTTCATAATTTAGTACATAATTGTGTGATTATTTTTTACTCGGTATTTTAAGCCCCAATCAACCGATTATTTAAACCCCTTTGTAATGTAGGATGCACATATTCCGTGATATTTTCTTGTTATTATATTGTTCTCACAAAACAAGAATGAGTTTGATTCTCTATCACTGTTTACTTTACTAAGTTAAAAGATGGGGATTTGAAAGTTTATTGCCATTTCACAAATAGAGGACAAATATTTCATAAACCTAAAGATACCATTAGTGAATCAAATTTCCACTGTAGTGGAAAATAACCTGAAAAAAAAAAAAAAAAAAAAAAAAAAAAAGTTGTTTAAGAAACGCTAAAGTTGTAGTCAATGCTCTCTTATTGGTTATGTGGACAATGTTTCCTTGGCCAGCGTCAGGACAACAAGGTGCGATTGCCCCACAAATATTTAGGACTACATCCTTCAGATTATATTGTCTGGGTGACTTATTTTCACATTTTTATGTTTGGACAAAATCATTTGACAATCTCCTATTCTCCTTGAACGTTCGCTATCCAAAAAGTGGCCATTTTGTCTGATAATACTCTTTTTCCAATCCATTTTTACTAAGTTGCAACCTTGTATATTCATCTTTGTCAAATATAATCCCTAACTTTAAATTTTTTTTATAGGATATTAATACTTTGTGTTTTATGTAATCCTAAAGGATATATATTGCTGTTTAGAAAGCCATAAAGATAGGGGTGAAAATCAAACCCAAGATTTCCTAAAACCGGAAGAAAGCTCTAACCACTTGAATCACCTTAAAAGACATATTTTCTTTGTTCTTTTTTACTTGACCTGTTTCATTTATCACATTTGCTATTGTAAAACTTTACGATCAATAACTTTAATTCCTCATAAGTAAAAATTATAGATTTTATAAATTATGATATTACTTATTGAGAAGAATCTAATTAACAAGATCTCACATGAATATGTTTTTACATATGAACAATTCGCAAAAGACGGTACCGTAGAAAAACGGTCGTAGAAAAACGGTCGCAATTTAACCGAATTCTAGTAGTGGGTCAAAGAAGCGATGGTGAATAGTGTAAAAAGTCAAAGCATGTCAAGTAAAAAAGAACAGAGGAAGTATATAATTAAGTATTAAATATACTTCCAATGGTATAAATTTTGGGAAATCATGACAAAATTATGTACAAATCAATGTAATTATATATGTTAATGCTTATTTATATATTTATCTTTCCTTTTTTAGCTTCGTTGTTATATATATTCCTTAGGATTATGTTTATCATTTTCCTTTTCAATAAATTTACATTACGAAAAGTTAAGGCATGTTCACTTCAGCTTCAATCAGTTCAGTACAGTTCAGCTCCTAATTTTCTTCTCTCATAAAATATTCATTTCAGTTTAATTCAGTTCAGTTCAATTCAGCCCCAATTAGTTCAGTAAATGTGAACAAACCCTTAGTCTTTTGAAATATACATTTAGACAAATCTGAAAGGCATCATATGACTAATATATATTCCTTATAGAGATCAATAAAGATACTTTCACTAGAGATCGATCTTGCTTGTGCTCCTTATTGTTTGAATAATCTTGTGTTCTTTTGACGTACATATTATTATTATTATTACTCCCATTGCTCTTTATTATTGTTTTTTTTTTAAATCTCGTTTAAAGATTTGAAATAAGAACATAATAATAATAATAATAATAATAATAATAATAATAATAAACAAAGCCAATATTATATATTTGTACAAATGATATAGACCCAAACCTAACAATTACGTACAATCAGAGTGTGTTATTCGATAGACGTGCTTAAATTCAAGAATAGAAGAAGAAAACATGCTTAAAATCATAGATATAGACGGGTTTAAATCCAAGAATAGAAGAAGAAAACATGCTTAAAATCATAGATATAGACGGGTTTAAATCCAAGAATAGAAGAAGAAAACATGCATGAAATCATGCTTAGATATATTATTGGCAAAAACTTTAGCAATTTAAGATGAAGCGTGAGCATTAATGGTGGTGTTTATGTAAAGAATTTGTATATAATCCCTATAGATGGCATTAAGTACCAAATAATATATTATGATCTGTGTGGTGTCGTTGAACGGTAAGATGAGAAGGATACAAATATGCGATATGACCGATATCGAATGTTTATGAGAACACCTTTTCTATTAACAAATATTTGATAATTGATACTCCCTCTGTCCCTTTATTAAAGACCTATTTTTAGCATTTATTCCTCACATAATAGATAGAAGTATGCATCTAATTAAGGGACGAAGGGAGTATCATTATTTTTTGTACAAATATTTTGAAGTCACCATGTTGATGCATGATTATTAATTTATGATGATTAATTGATGAATTTTACTAGAATAATCTAGATGAAGTCGATTAAAATGTTGGTAGTCATGTATTATTTACTTTTGGATTTAAGATTATGGCTCACTATCTTTTTCTCTTATGTGAAAATGGTTCAGTTTTTAAACTTTGAACTTTTAAAAGTAATTGATCGAGAGGGTTTTGTCTTACAGATGAGAG